GCATGCATATATTACATATATATTATAATAATAACTCACCACATGTAGCAAGTGTTGCATAGCATAATAGTAGCATTGGTCAAATTGCGTCCTGGAATCCACGCGACCGCGAGATTTCAACCTTCTCACATGCGCAGATGAATTTATATGACGTCATTACGTTCTACGTTCTACTGTCGTTGTGCAATCGAAGGCTCCCTAATATCTGCTCTCTAAAGATGCATTATAGTATCAACAATACTAATCGGACTCTGAAAGTCAGAACACTGATTGCAAAGTACAGTTATCAATTTAAATATTTTTGCTTTGCAACTACAACTATTGATTCATTCATTACAAATTTCCATTTCATTTTTTTTTTTTTGTATATTAGCCAGCTTTAGAATCGTAAATTTAGATACTGTTCCAATAGAGGTTAAATCAACCAGCGTCAGTATAAACATGATGACGTCATCTGAACGATGTTCTGGGTTTAGCGTAGGAAAATATCGTACATTTAAAAGGTATTTTTATTTCTTGGTAATAACATGAATGATATTGAATTCAAGTCATTACATAAATGCGATAAAAAAATTAACTTACTAAAATATATAAAATATATATAAAAAATATATTTGTAGAATATATAAAGTGAAGCATTCCAATAGCATACATTTTTTTGACGAATTAAATTGAAGTATGAAAATAATAATATAAAATTATTTAATTCAGTTCAATTCAAAGTAACATTTATTTGATCCCTTTTCCAGTTCAAATACAAACAAAAATAAAATAGAGAATCATAACAATTCCGGTGAAATGGACCTTTCCGCTAAGCCCCGCCCATTGGATATTGTTGCTAAGGTCCTACAAGACGGCAGTGTTAAAACATACGCAAACACGTGTGTTTGTGGGACAACACGTGTGTTTGTGAAACGCGCGCGTATTCCTAGCGTTGTTGTGATTAGTCAGTTGTTAAGTTTGATTGAAACTCCGGAAAGGTCTATTGAGAGAGGCACAGACACACGCCTTTGCTTATATTGTGGTATTTAATACCGTAGTTATTGCATTTATATTTTTGAACAGTATATGCTTAATAAAAGTAATTTTCCTTGTCTGATTCTCACTGTTAGGTAAAATCTTTGTCTCCAAAAGTTATGGTTGCAAATGAGCGTCATTTTGATTTCAAAAATTGATGACGTAATAGGTATATTATGATCATTTTTTTTTAACTCATACATTTATAATAATGCATAATCTGATTTACATATGTCCTACTTGCAAATTTGAGTAGATTTATTACTTTGTTATTAGACACACACCTTTTAATTCCATGGTCAGTTGTTCAAAAAGTAGCAGAATTTATCTCATGACCAAAGCCATGGAGGTATAACCAGCTCTATTCTTTGAAATTCAACGCATATTGCGTCGGTAGTGCCGCGATTCTTTGAGACCGTGGCGCAACGGATCTTTTATAATAACGTTTTTTCTCAGCCTGCCTCTGACGCAACCGGAATGGCGTTGCGTAGCGGGCAAGCTCAGAAATCCGTCGGCCGAACATAGCCTCATATAAACGTGGCTGTAGAGGTTCGAGGATTTCGATTAAATCGGACATTCGCTGGATAGATCACTATCGACAAATATATATATATGATGTATATAAGATACTGGTACTAGCTAAAATATATTTGGATCGTTTTAAATATTGTTTTTTCATACCAAAATATATTTTGATGTAACTATTTGTAAACTGTTCTAAAGACCAGCTTTGCTGTTCTTTTTGTAATATTTATAGCTAAAGCCAATGAGTAATTTCAGTCTCATTGAAGAACTAAGCCTAAGTCTGTACTTTCATGCAAAAGTGCAGTATTATACTAGAATGAATATTTTTGCTTGATTAGTTTGTACTATAGGACGTAATCCTAATAAAAGATACATTTGTAGTCAAAATAATTCGGTGTTCATCTATTTTCAATTTGCTTCTATGAAAGATGGATAAATTTCTGTGGTTCACTCGAGACCAGGTTATATAATTGCTACATAAGGCGAGTATCTTTTGCACATGTGGCGTGCCCGTTTCATACCAGATTGGATTGAAGAAGGGAAAGAAAGGACAGAAAACTATCAAGATTCCACGGGGTGGGGGGTGGGGAAGAAAAGAAAATGTGTATTGTTAAAAGAAATGCCTAATTGAGGGGCATGCAATGAACTCCTGGCAATGCTCATACAGGAAATAACAGACCTCAAGAAACATCTTAGTAGCCTGTTTGCTACTTTTTCTCAAGTGTCTTTCCCTGTCTTGATAACCCTTGAAAAATTATTCAAGGGTTGGTCTCACAATAGACTAAAGCGCCTTTCACATATATTCAGGTTCCAGTTCAGGCTCCGTTTTCATTTCCAGTTCCTCGTCCGGTTTTTGTCGATTCTGTTCAAATGTACTGCGTAAATTTTCCGTTCCGGTCTGGCATCACGCTGACGTCACGCATTAGGAGGAACTTGCGTCGCTAGTTGTATCGTTTTGTTTTTGTTTTGAAAATCTTCTTTTAATTACATTTTTCGTACCATTATTCGTAAATTACTTTAATTTTTAGTACCATTTATACATATTTTATATAAGTAGAATTTATTATAGTTCTAAATTCAAAAAACAACTTACATTACTTACGTTTAACCTAATAATTTTCAGTAAAAAAAAATCATAATATGACCACAAATTGGTCGACAGAATAGTCGACATACGTTTTATTATATTGCATTGGCAAAACGATAATGTAGTTTTGAGATTTCTTTTCTTTTTTCTGGTAAGAAACACTAACAAAATGTACCATTATACATTGCGTTTTTATCGTCAGTCTCCAACGCATTATTTGCATACTGTTTTTTAACACGATACCCACCTCATGGGACCTTTAAAATGCCGACTGTCCATCTGCTATCTTTAGTTATCGTTGAACCACTAAAATCACAACTATACGCAGATACGTGTTTTTTTTTTTTAAGTACGCAAGTGGGTAATTTTAGTATTATGACGTCATCATTGCCTTGTAATTCTCGACTTAGTAAACACCAGTCAAAGAGTAACTGGTTTAAAGGTTATATTAGGATTCTAATTGCAGGATATCTATGTAAAATGTGCATGATGACTGAATTTGTCACGATACTTAAACATTCTGGAAAGGTCAATCCAATTGAGGTATAATGGAGCGAATGATTATCAGTCTTGTAATTAGTCAGACTCATTCCTCAAAAACAGGTTTAAAATGTCAAGATATTTATGACAAGATAGCAAATTTAAAAAAAATAGAAGCATTTTCCCATCAATGATTTGCTAAATAACTAAAAATTACATGATAGTATTTCCCCGGCCATTACGACACCCCTATTAAAGGGACATTTTCAGGCTTTCAACCAATATGGTGACACAATGGAAGGGGATCCACTGTACTTATCATCCTACGGGATAATAGTTCATAGACTAATATTCTGAAATAATTGTAAAAATGAAAACAATATTGAAAAAAATTTCAATGATAGTTTTATAAATAATGTTAATAGAAAAATTAATATAAATAAACGTGCCGTATATTGATAAAAAAAAATCATCTACACTGGTGTTTTATGTGGAAAACTTTAATTTCAACATAATAATTTGTCTTCCTTCCATTACATTTCCAAATAAAACTTTTTTGCCCTCTCTTCATCCAACTTCTGTTATGTAACAGCAGTTAGGTGAATGGAAGTGTTTTGCCGAACATTTTCAGTAAATACAAACATTAAAGTTGGAATTAAAGTAAACAATATTTAAAATCATACCTACACACTAGTGTTAATAATTATAATCTTCAATAATAACAATAAAAAAACATATCTTATTGTTTAACATAGTAGTAAATGTAACTTTAATAGTAGCATGCACGATTAAAATGAATAAAATTTGGTTGACGATCTGTTCACTCGACCTTAATCTACTTTGAAGCAATCTCAACAAAATTCTGCGAAAGGAAGAAAATATCAAATTTGTAACCGAGAAATTATGAATGATGTACGTGATGTCATTGATATAACTTCCGTAACAACTTGACCTCTGAACCCATTGGCAGGAAATAATTCAATACATTTTAGTTCGATTAGTCACGGATTGCTGGAGACTGCACGCGTCAAATGCATTTATATCTTTCAATCGTCTGCCTTTTAACGATTATTATGATATTTGCAATCATGACCACTGAAATATATATTGCTACGATTAGCACCGTGCGAACTTCTCCAGGATGTTACATGTCTGAACGAACAATGAACTCATTAAATTTCGTGAAAACTCCAATATAACTTTTTTCAAATCAACACACAGTATGTCGGGTGTCTTGCAAATGTATCTTACAGTATTGAAGCGACTTCTCTGGCGTAGATCGATCATTGTCAAGATAGCCTTCTGTTCTGAAGAAATCGTAGAAAGTGTTACACCTCAGGAGCTGGAGATATCGTTGACAACGCGATTACTCTGGAGAGTTTGTGTGTGATTTTAATGTTGCTGAATTTGTAATCTTAATATTTTTTATGTTTTTAATTGTATTGTAACATTTTCGCAATTCAGTTTTCTTTTAAGTTACTGCAATGAGAAATGAAATAAATAAAACTTAAAACTTGAACTTGAAACTTGAGAGATTGTTGACACTGCAACCTTTTTGACCTGAAGAGATTATTGACTGGTCGATTTTTTTTTGGGGGGGGGGGGTGTTGGAGAAATAATTGACAAAATGATATCTTCAACCCAAAGGACTTGTCTTTGGGTCGGAGAGGTCATTTAAAGTTTAAGTTTATCGTAATGGATGGAGAGTTCATTTACAGGAGGAAGACGTCACTGGTCCGCTTAGGAGATAATTTACAGGACAACCTATTTGGATGGATAGATAATTGACGTGCAGGCTTACGGCTTTCTGGTTGGTGTGGTTTTTTTTTCTTCTCTCTTTTGTGGAGATAACCCACATTTATTTTCCATTATCTCTTTTTTCAATAATTTTCTGTTTTATACTTATCTATATTCCCTTAAGTTAATAAATATGAAACTCATTGAGTATCCTCATATTTACAAAAGTTACATTTTTCATTTTTTCGTTCCTTTTGACAGTTTTACAATGCACAAATCTTTAAGCAGAGTTCGTTCACTCAATCATGATATAAGTTATGAATATCATCTATTTGCAATTACATTTTTTTTTGTTTTTTTGTTTTGTTTTTTTTTTGTTTTGTTTTGTTTTTTAACATAAAATCTGCCCATAAAGTACCGACGTTTATCTGTACTAACTTTTATGGACATACTCCATCATGAATTATATACGTCACATTAGGTATTATTTACAATTTTTATTTTTTTATTTTTGTTTAAATAAAATTACTCCCCTTGTGTTCATGCTTCCAAAAGAATTTCTTATGAACGGACGTTTAAACTATGGTATCATGAAGTACATGTCACCTTGTGTCAAATCATACGTACACTCCATCATGAATTATGAAATACGTCACATCATATTTTTCTGATGTATGCATTTTTTTCCTTGTGTGTGAGCATCCCAGCTTCATTTCTAATAGGTAAATCAATAATATAATATAACGAAACGTTTTCGAATCAGAGGCTGATGAAACCAGTATTACCCCAACAATCAAACAAATGAAAAACATTAAATTTGGTTACATTACATTATAAATAGCAACATTATTTAACTGTAGTAATTTCAATAGTATTTTTTATGTTTTATATTTTAATTAAAGTAATTTAATTAAGTAACACAGACCATTACACAGAAGATATAACCAATAACCTGTCATTAAAAAATCAATCAATTATACATCAAAAACTGTTGGTGTGGTTATTGACAAGATTACACTATCGCAAGTTTTTGGGAACGTACTCGGTATAGGGTATACGGATTGAGCAAAACATCATTCCGAAAAATAGCACTGCAGTACAGGCTCATAATTGAAAATCGAGTTAAACACTCGCCACTAAGCGCAAGTTCGGCGGTCTAGTGGTTATAACACCAGGCTAGGTATCTGGAGGTTGTGTCCGACTCCTATCGCCTGCAAAACAAGTATTTGGGAACCTGTGTATACAATACGATGAACCTCTGATTGGGCATTCCTATTACCGGTTATGGTAAACAGCATAGGCCTAGGCCTACTCAAACCATAAATTATCAGCAAACACTTTGTCGCATTGCATAACGGGCCTTACAAACAATGACAAATTACCTAATTGTGCTATATCTATAGACGCATTTCATATATTTTATGACAAAATACATGTGTATTTAAACAAGGTAGATCAGATGGGGCAACGAAGAGTAAGTTGCCCTCATTGGTTTGGCTATTGCTGATGATTTACGAGAGTTGTTAAATGGCAATTGGTTCAGAATAATACCAGCGATTAACAGACGACGTCGCTTGGCCAAGTGCTCAAACAGTGGAGGAGGTGGATTCGTCGGGCGACGGTCGGCCGACGCATTCTGAGCCAATTGTGAGAAAAGTCTTGAATTACATTTTTTTCCAACAGTGAACAGATGCGATCACTCACTTATTACCCTGACAAGCTTCAAGCGGATTATAACATAATGTTACAAATGTTTACATTGCTTTATAAAGCCGACAAGACACTGCGCCGTACGACGGCGGTCGTATAACTTTCGGCCGACGAATCAATACGCCATCTGTGAGCGGTTGACGTCGCGACGCGCGCGTCTGCTGATTTGCTGGTGGCAGTTTAGCGAATCGTCATTAATAATGATAAGTTGCGCGCGTCATCGCGATACGTTTACTATGGACCAACCATGCTTTACAACGCCAACCAGGCTTAGTTTAATGAGTAGAATTAGCATGTATTTAGGGATTGATTAAGTATTACCTTCTTTTCTTTTTATCATGTTCAAGTTAAGCGCATAGAGGTCTCCATAACATGTGCTCTATAAATTGACCATTATTAATATCATTATTATGAAAATCGTTCGGCCGACGTGTGCCAGGCTTAATAAGCAAACGATGGGTGGCGCCAGGATTTTTTCGACTGGGGTCCTATGTCCCCGACAAATGTGGGGGGAGTAACTCCCCGACGACTAGATCATAAGTGGGTGTGGTATGGTGTCGCTCAAAATCTCTTGGAGGTGATCCAGGGTCGAGTCCCCCAAAAATATGAAAATGTTGTGTGGTTTATTAAATCAATTTTAGAATAATAGGTATATACTATATTTCTTCTCCCCGACCGGAGGGTGGAGGAACTCTTCTTTATCAATTTCAGAATATTGTAGTAAAATGTAGGCCTACCTTTCTACCAAGCCCCGCCCCATAAATAATAATATGGTTTGGGACCTTAAAAAGCTTAAACATTTTTGTGAGACATGCGCGTATTCCTTAACACATGCGAGTAGTAAATAACACATTCCGATTGGTCAGTTAAAGTTTACTGACTCCGTAGTATAATACGCAGTTATCATTAAATTGTAATATACGGCCATTGTAATAATATCGATAAATGTTATGAAAATAGTAATTTACTAAAACTAGCAAATTAATTAACTTGCTGTAAAACAGAATATTTATAATTTCAAATTAGAATTCCAGGTAACACCGCCTGTAGTTCGCACTAAATTCATGTATATATTGACAAGTGCTAAAATGCTTAATTGTTGATCAAACATAATTGTGGTCACGTCGAAACTTCTCTATTGTAAGCAAAGCGTTGTTCAATTTACGATACTATAATAGATTCGGTTCAGTAAACATTTTGAGATGCGTAGCATATACATCTATGTTATCTGACGGAGTCAGCACTTCCCAAGTTGCCTTTCGCCCTCACTGGTTTGCCTTGCGCTCGTTACTCGATTGATCTCCGCTGTGTGATCGTGGGAAGACGTTTCACATCCAAATAAAAACAAAATCTTTAGGAGACAGCACACCATGATGCTAGTGCGACTATTTGTTATTGGAATTATTTTTGTTACCAATTTGGTAACGGCGTCTGTATCAGATAAAATAACACTCGGTGGACTTTTTCCAGTCAGTAATCGAGGTGAAGGCGATATTGATTGTGGAAGTATTAACAATGTTGGCTTACAGCGACTCGAGGGAATGTTATTTGCTTTAGATCTCATCAACGCTGATACCAAGTTGCTCCCGGGGATTACCTTAGGTGCTAGACTGTATGATACGTGTAGGCGTGAAACGTATGCCCTGGAGCAGACGATCGAGATGATCAGTCAGGACCTCCAGCAAGATTCGAGCATGTACGTCTGCCCGAATGGAAGTGCTGTCCGGCGAGCAGACGACCAGAGTGGTCAGTCTGTAACCGGTGTAGTAGGAGCGGCAAGTAGCTCAATCTCACAGCCAGTTGCAAGTATCTTGCGACTCTTTCAGGTGAATTAAATTTTTAAGCGAATTTAATACGTTAAATTATAGTTTATACATAATGTACCGCATATACAGTAACTCATTCTTTCCAAGTGACAGTGGTTTAGCTTTGTAGTTCCTTTAAGTAAAAAGGAATATATTTCCTACCACAAACAAGCCGATGAACCATAACAGGTTTAGTGGTATAAGTAACGGAAAGCTGTCTCCTATAGATGTATGATTATAAACCACTGTCCCAAAAGTAATTGGGTGGCATGCTAATTACAAGTAGATATACCTAATCAAAAGAAATAAGTTAATGAACTAGGGCAGGGCTCCGGTGTACATTGCAACTTAACTCGTATCATTGCCTCTCTGCATCGGACATAATTCTAATTAGCGACAAATACTGAAATAAGTGGTCACTATAGTTTTACTCATTTTGTTTTACTGGAAAGTTATACATCAACATCAACATGGCACCAACCAAGATATCAACAAATAAAGTTCCATATTAAAAGTGTGCGTTCTGTTCTGCATGCTATGGTCATCCGACAGCAAGAAAACCAGCAGCTAATAAAGATTCTCGGAGACAACGGAGACGGCCAACTGTGTTTATTGAGTTTATTTTATTATTTCTTTATTATTTTTAGTATTTATG